CCTTCGTTAACGGAATGTCCGTGTACGGTGGAATATGAAGTGCATCGTAAAATGTGCATCATCTCGATTTATCATCACGCTCCCGCTCGCGCACACGAGCAACAAAATACTTGCTCGCATTCCCTTCCGTCGCCAGTGCGTGGAACATCTCGAGCATGTTCAAGGTTGTTAACCCATTGGCATGGGCGAAAATTACGGTTTAGAGTTTTCCGCTTTGTACGTGAAAAGAGTTGGTGTAAATGAGTAAAAACATAACATTGCGTGAAAAATTTTATGAGTTATCAAGATATTTTATTTTCAGCGATGAGAGGGAGAGAGAGAGAGAGAGGCGATAAAATTTGAATTGATCGATAATATGTTTGTCTGCTCGTACAATAACGATTAAATGAAAAATTTATTAGTTCCAAGGTTAAATCGTAGATATCAAATATATTTAAGGCTTCAAATACGATATTACGATATTACGACGCATTCCATGATTAAATTTTTCTGTAGGTAAGGTGTGTCCGTAAATCATTATGTTTGAGACTTGTCGCAAAGTTACGATGTCGTAATATGATACATATTATTAATAATATTACTCGTGCCCTTTCTTTTTTTCCCATACTTTAGACATCCAACGATAAGTGCACCTCTTCCGCGATATAAAATTGTATTCTCAATGAGAACTTTAATATAAAACGTTTTTTTTTCACATATTATCATTCCGCGCTAATACAAAATTTACATACTCCAATTTTTATAAAATTTTACAAAGTGATAAGTATCTTAGATGTGTATTTTATTTATCGAGATTATGACATTTGCATAGTTACATCGATTCGTATTCGTTTTTCTCGAGATTGGAAGAACTATTAAATCTTTACTATCAACTTTAACGTAGTGAAATGCATCTTTATTTGGAGGTTGGAGGTATAAGAAATATTTTATAATTAAAGTACAACACTAGGAGAAAATGTATGACATTTATTTTATATATTAGGTATATATTTATTTTATATATTAGGTATATATTGCTATATCTATACATTTATGTGTATTTATTGTATATAAAGTCGAGGAAAATCTAGAATTCAGAGCGCCGATGAGGAATTCCCAACATTGCAGGATCGAAACGCATTGATAACTTGAGTCTCTTGGAGAGGCATACACCGAAGCCCACTCACCTTCTTTCCTTTTCCCTTCCCTTTTTGCCATGACTGCTATGTGTTAGGCCTCCGTCGAGATAGGCTAGCATTAGAACCACGTTGCAAACAGGAATTCTTTCACGTCGAGTCGTAGTTACCTTCGGTGCGTGAGAACTCGCTGGCGAAATAGTTATATTTAACGTTTTATATACGGTCCATAATTTTATTGTGCGTTTCCCCCCGTTTCCTTATTTTTACAATTCGTGTTCCGCTAGATTAATGTCACTCTTTTTTTAAACTTAAACTAGAAATAAGGAAGTATCTTAAAATATATGATTAAATATATAAAAGTGTATATGGATCAAAATAGGATGGAATTTTTAGTTTTCAGAAAAATCACTTAAAAAAAAATCTTATAAAAATCTTACAATTAGTGAAGAAAAAGTTAAATAGACGGTGTGTTATATTAAACTTTCGCGCTAAAAATAAGTTGGCACTAAATTGACCGAAGAATCTATAGAAAGGAAGTGCAATATATAGCGTAATGTAGGAAGCGATTATAATGTATAAAATTTGAGGTCCTTTATACATAATTATTAATATTATAGCCGAATCGAACGAGCATGCCAATTTTTTCTCATTAATGCCGATAAATGTCAGATAACTGCAATCAAGATAGCATAATTTAAGAAAAATACTTTTTTTTGTTACATGGAAACATAATTTACATTCCTTGCACTGATATACGATGACGAATATGCTATCATCAATTTATCGTATCGTTATAGTTACGCAATACTATCAATTTGTGCGCGATATAATTCTGTGACCTAAATTCGCTGACACGTAAAATCATATATACTTTTAATGAAATGACAAAATAGACCAGTTACTAAAAGTGACATTTATTTTTCTCTCTTTTTCTTTCTCACCTTGTTAAAAAAAAAATGTATAAAATGTCGCGATAATTTATCTCGACTCGCTGGGTGTTAAATCGAATATAGAATAATCAATCAAATTCAAAATACTCGAAATAATCAAAATGCGTAAGCGCGTTTTGATTATTAATTTATATCTTCACTTTGATTATAAATCTATATCTATGTGTGTGTTTACGTTTGTGTATACTTTATATACGTTTATCCTTTTTTATATCGATATTAAAACATAAATTATATAACATACATAATTTATGTAACGTATATAAACTGGAGACCGTTTGTCATAAATCTATTAATTTATATATTATTCGTTATTTGTATAAAACATTTTTAATAATTTTTAACGTAATTGTTTAATTATACTTTACGTAATTAACACCGCCTTATTTGTAGAGAATAGCCTAATCCTAATATTAAGCATTACTTATATTTGTCATTATGTAAAATGACAACCGATTAGCGTGCTTGTCACACAACAATGCTTTCTTTGCGTTCTCACGGTATCTTATTCCATTGTAAATTACAAAATTGTCTTCAAGCAACCTGCTGACGTCGGTGAAAGCGAATCGAAATTACTTATCGTTTAAGAGGAGGAATCTCCTTATTATTAATTCCTTTACACCGAATGGATTTATATTTAGCTGCCGATTTAGCTGCCGAATCATTAGAATCGCAAGCAAGAATTTCTAAGCGAAATGCCTGACTGCTCGTAGTTGGAAGCGCTTGTTTGCACTTTCGAAACTATAAACGGGGGGGGGGGGGGGGGGAGGGGAAGGGCGCAGCCAACTAAACAATTAAACACACAATGTAATGAGTCGAGAAATATTTGTCCTCCAATAGAGATTCATACAAGTAACAGAGAAATTTGAAGAAAAAATTTCGATAGATTTCTCGTTGTTCTTAAAATATTACCACTTGTGTAAAATGTTGTTGCAAAGTAATCACAATTGTTCATACATATAAGTAATCACAATTGCTGATATTTGATTTCAATTGTAAATAGATTACTTTTATTTGCCTTCTATATCTGCAATATCTCTGCAATTTATTTTTCAAGAAACTTCGAAAGTTTTATAAATGCCTCGTATTTGTAATAATGTTTGTGACTCTGGAGATTTCTTTGTATATGAAGTGAGCTGCTGCATAATCGCAGGAAACGCATAATTTTTTCACCAATGGGTATGCATTTACGTAAACTCGTTAATATGACTTATCATTACGAAAGACTCAACGATCAATCGTCATGCAGTTACGCAAATGTGATTGACAATTCACAGTTACTGAATGTATTTACGGAACTCATTCAAGAAATATTTACACCCCCTATGCCCTACATAATATCATGAGACTCGCATTGCGTATAATAGAATAGCGTGCAAAAACCTTGATTTAGACAAAATCTACGGCAAAAGACATCATTATTATATTTTGCATGCATTATTATTGTATACAGACTTATGTCGTAATTAATATTAGGTGTTGGAATTAATTCGTAGCGTTTTTTAATGAAAGAATGTTATTTATTTCACATGAGCATTAAAAAATACATTAATGAAAGTACTTCCCATCACTTGTAAAACGCTACGAATTAATTCCAACACCTAATACATTCATGGATTTATTGATTTATATATTACTCACATCCTTCTCTGAATTTTTCGAGTATTTTTTAAGTTGCTTGCACGCGGTTGCACGGTTAACATTAGAGGAGAATGATGAGGAATTTCTCTTGGAACAAATTCAGAATTTCACATTCTTCGCACATAGTTATGCAAAAATTAATCGTCATCTCAGTTTCTCTTCTATCAATGATCTATCGATGAGCGTGTATATTCTGTGACGCATAAATTTACACGCGACGCGATAAATCTTTCCGTTAGAAAATAAAGAAGAAAAATATTGCTACAACACCGTTTTATGACTTCAAAATTACATATGCAAAATTTCAGCGAGTTATCTCCTTCCTTAAATGTACTTAAGCTACATTTACAGCAATTATTTTCGTTTTAATTAGATTTTTCTGAATATTTTAATGCTCGTATACAAAAAATAATTACAAAAATATTTAATAAAGCAATTAATAAAAATATTTGAGTAAGCTATCTCTCTCTCTCTCTCTCTCTCTCTCTCTCTCTCTCTCTCTCTCTATGAAATTTGACTTTAACTGGGATAATTAAATTATAGGTGTACGTAGATTATTTCCAACAAAAAAAAATGAAATAACATATTACGCAAAATGTTACATTAAAGAATGTGATATTTGCAAAATCTTAAAACACGTCGTGCATAAAAATTGCATTTAATGCAACTACGAAACAGGTATAGAAGGAAGTGAAAAGTGGACGAAATTACTTACACGCGAGTTAAATGGCAGCGAAGTGTCCAAATGAGGTGAACGATTAGTTCTATGAATGTAAAGTTTCACCTTCGAAAATAAAGTTTAGTAAATCGGGAAGAGTAGCTACTAAGGAGAGGAGGCGCCGCACGCAAAAAAATTCTAAACATGTCTGGCAAACTCATTGGAATTAAACTCATTGGAATTTCACTTTAGCGAGGGGCAAAAAGGGGTACTATAACTTTCTGCTGGCTTTCTTGAGTACCAAGTATGGCACTGCTGACCCGATAGCCGGATATATGGCGACGTGCAACGTGCAAGTATCGACGTTGCTGTCATTAAGTTATTGAACCCGGCTACTCTACGCCTGGCAACACAACAATATATCCTTATGACTAATAAATTGCACGAGTCGAAATGAAAAGACGACGAAACTGGGCACGCATAAGTTAAACGGACCTTCGCGAACGTAAAGGCCAATTAAGATTTTCGTATATACGTCCTTACTCGCCCGTGACGAATTATTACCTGACATATAATTCAAAACGTCTTTTATCGATGTGTTTCATAATGGGAACTTTGGCTCTTCTGTTTCAGTTATAATCAGCGCGGCACATCCTGGTTACCATGCCGTACTATAACAGTGGTCACAGTCCCGCTTACAACAAAGGTGAGCAACCTGCTCGTTTGGATTGTATCGTGGAATTAAAAAGCTAATTACATTTCGGAATAAATTATCATTCGCTAATGTACCGTTTGTGTGGCAATTTCATCTGATTATCACAAATCTCTCGCAGAAAATAAAGCTATACATATAAACTCGACGAAACTGAAAGAGAATATGAACAAATTAAGCAAATTTAAACGTTATTGTGCACTGTTTTAGAAATAAAGGCTAATACGATTGAACAAATTTATGAGATTATACAAATTGATTTTAAAGAATTAAACAAAAATTTACATAACACTTTGTATTATAAGATTATTAACCCTTGAACGCCACACTATGGAATCGACATACAAAAATCGACATTGGGTATGACATACCCTACCCAACAATTCGATTGCTTATAACTTTCATAAAAATGAACATACTGCTTAACATTATTTTTCAATCGAAACGGCAGACTTTAAGGAACATAATAGTACCAAGTAAATGAATGTATCTTTATTAATAAAAAATTAAGTTATGAGCATGAAAAAAAGCATTGGAAAAGCATTGGAAAAAAGAAACGGGGTAGCCAGAGTTTTTAAGGATTAAGAATAGAGAAGCGGAAGAATATCGAAAGGAGAATTTTATAAATTAACTATTAAAGACGAATCTCGCATTTCAGATGGCGGCTCCAGTGGACCGTCGAGCACTTCTGGTGGTCGCGCCAGCAGCTCGGAGCCGACATATATGATGGAGCACTTGGCCACGTTCACCGTCACGAAGGAAACCGGTATTGTTTATCCGGCGGATGGTATGCGCCGCCTCTTACAGTTGGAGAAAAGTAATGGCATCTGGAGTCAAAAAATGCAGCTCCGTCTTGAGCGAAACTGGGTCCTCATCATGGACAACGAAACAGGGGTAATTTTTATTTTTTTTTTTACACAGCTGTAATCATGTTCTATCGTAAATACACGGAGCACCCAGAAAACATGTCTGTGAAACATTGCGATGCTTATATTTTATCACATTTTCAAGTTTCAATATAAAAAAACCTACTATCTTTGAGGCTATAATAAACATGACATTATAAACGAAATTAATTGTTCGATATGGTCGGGCATGATTTATATAAATATCAATGTGTCGATCTATCATGTTAAATCTATCAAGAAAATATTATAGATTGTATACGTGTTCAAAATTACTACGTATCTATATTAACGATAATTTTATCTAATAATATATAATTGTAAATTTCAGGCCATTATGGAACGATTCCCTGCTTCCTTGATACAGGAACCAACGGCATTTACGTCGAGAGATCCTATGGAAATGTACAACAACATTTTAGTATTCACGGTGGCTGACGATAGTGGTTCCAACCAGCGAGCGGAGATGCACATATTTCAATGTCAAAGTGTGTCGGCACAGGATCTCGTCGAGGACCTCAAAATGCTGCAAATGGGAAAACTGGTCACGGGTGGCTCGCCCCGGGGTCCTAGAGGACACATTCCACCACCACCTGCCTTACCACCCCCGGAACCACCCTTGAACGGCGTTAACGTCAGGGAACAGGTGTCTGCTTTCAATGCGGCGAATGGTGAGTACGCAGTTGTAACAAAGTAATATTTTCTATCGGAAATCATGCATGTTTAGACAAATTTTTATCATTAATTTGAAATACAATTGTGAATACAAGTAGAAAATTTATGAAAACTTGCGCAATAATGATGTTTGTGCTCCATTTAATACAATTGAAGCTTTATTTTATTTAGTATAATTGAAGTTCATATAATTGAAGTTTAGTATAATTCTCTTCTAAAAGGTTCTTGAACAGAATATAATAATATTATGTAACATTAGTATATTGAATACATCTGTGTGTAAATTTAAATAGCAGATGGGCAAAATGATATGTCGCGAGAGGAGAACAATGACGAGGTATCATCGACGTCGTCGGAGAAATATGAGCGTGACGTGACGATCCTGAATCACTGCTTTGACGACATCGAAAAGTTCATAGCGCGTCTGCAGCATGCAGCTGCCGCGTCTCGGGAGTTAGAGCGCCGACGACGTAATCGGAAGTCAAAGAAGAGAAATCTCGGCGATGGTATGCTCACGATGAGAGCAAAGCCACCGCCCGAGATGGAGTTCATTGATATCTTTCAGAAGTTTAAGCTTTCGTTCAATCTTCTAGCCAAGCTCAAGGCGCATATCCACGATCCCAATGCGCCAGAACTTGTACATTTCCTCTTCACGCCGCTCGCGCTCATCGTGGACGCCTCTCACGATACTAATTACGATCCGAATTTACCTAGTAAAGTGATGTCGCCGCTTCTCACGCGAGAAGCGGTCAATCTGCTGATAAATTGCGTCACCAGCAAAGAGACCGAGTTGTGGCATTCACTGGGTGACACGTGGTTGATACCGCGTGATCAATGGAAAGTACATGTACCGCCATACAATCCGATCTTTATGGACGGCTGGTCACCAGAATATCCTATTCCCGAAGATAGGGATCACGATCATTTAACGTCCTTATTGAACGCGGATAAACAAAAGAGGGATGAGTTACCAGAACAACAGAATGATTCTTATTACAATCACCGCGACGTGGATGAATCGCATTATAGCAGCGATTATCTAGAATACGAGAGCCGAGAGGAACGTGGTGGAAACGAATACTTTGATAGGAATTATGGGCCGAGCTCAGAATTGTATGGTCGTGAGGAAAGAGCTGATCAGACCAGGGCGCATAGTGACATATCCGTCGACTCGATCGAAAGAGCTCCCAGAACAGTCGCTGGTATAGAGAGAGCGCAAGAGGCTTGGTTGGATGAATTGGTAGCACGCCACGCTAAAATCGTGCAAGTCACTTATCCACGAACGGCGAACAATGACAAGGAGCTCACGGTTGTCAGAGGCGAATATCTGGAGATTCTTGACGATAGCAGAAAATGGTGGAAAGCGAGGAACTCCCGAGGGCAAGTCGCTCACGTGCCACACACTATCGTTACGCCGCACAATCCCACTACTCATTCTACTGACAATGATGTCTTTAACAATCCTCTATACACCAGTAGATATCCAAGACAGGGGCACGGCTATAATTATGAGGTGAGAGGTATTAAAGAGATGTGAACACATTTTCGAATAAAATTTATCGTTAAAAATTATAGACAGTACAAGAGATGTGAATATGTTTGTAGATAGTTGCATGCAAAAGTAGGAACACAATTATGTTGGATTGTTATGTATTATGTAATATGATAGTATAATTAGGCAACACTATATGTATATAACTGCAATATGACTGCAGTGACGAGTCGGAAACTTTAATGTTTTGACGTTGCATTTTAATCAAATTATTACGAGCTTACATTGGAATGTACCGCGTGCTTTATACATTGCAAAAGACAGCTTTATATTCATTCCCTGAAGACATATGATTAAGAATTGAGAGTATTGGTGTAGTGTAGGTTATTAAATTAATTATAAATTTCACGTATTTAATGTGTAATAGATTTGATTACATGTTAAAGGATTCGGAGATTGAAAGAACCAGCACTAGTCCAGGTCCGGAAGCCACTCATCGAACACATGCGATTCCACCGCCAGCGCCTGCTGATTGGGTGAGAAAGGAAAGACTGGGGAAAAAAGGTGAATTTCGGTATTTTTAAGTCATCCAGCTCGAATGCCTGTTATTTTTAATCGAATTTGAGCAATTTCTGATAATTAGGAAAAGTATCAAGCTATAAATTTCAGATTTTTTTATCGCCTCTTTTATTATATTTTAAATAAGATTTTTTTTTATCAATAACGAATGTCTTCCAAAATCGAAAGAAACGCTGTCTTGACATTATCGCGACATTAAAGTCAATATATTAATCCAACAAAGCTAATATAACATAAAAAATAAGAGTACGTGCATCACGTTAGTCTAGCTATAGACGGACTGTAGCATAATTAATCGTTAGATCATCGTCCAATTAGTACTTCAATTAGCACACTTGTGAAGGGACATTGTATTTAATATCTGATGATTTTCTTTTGAATATGTACATATGTGAGCGTAGACTGTGTGAGCCATTCAAACGATTGCAATGAAGACGTAATATTCTAAGTTTTTCGCAATTGTTTTGATATATTAATCATTCATAGAGTGACACCAGTAAATTTTGTTTGTTTTTTACATATGAGTATATTGTTCTCGTATCTTTGCATTAGTCTGTCTCTGTCTTGCATACCTACATACAATGTTGCAACACATTGCACAGTCATTATTGAAAAGGTTAATAAATATGAAAAAGAAAGTTCTAAATACATAAATGAATAATTCATTTTATGTGACTATATATTTATAAGAAATTTTTTTCTCATATTGATTATTTTGTTGATTTTCCTTTATCATTATCACAGATGTAGCGTTGTCACAGATACAGACATTAATTAATGGCAATCAGAAACGAAAGTGCAATGGTGCAAAGATATCGAGGGGAACTAATTTCCCGACGCAATGTGACGTATTGTTGGACACTTTAAATAAAAGTGAAGATTTTGGGACCACGTTTAGTATGAAATTAATTAATAAGCCGTTCTCTTCATAATGAGATCTATTAGCTATCGGGTAGCAGTGACTATCAACCACATATAAAAGTATTGAATTGTACGAATCTCACGTTTGATTAAATAAAAAAAATCGATAATGACCAGCATTTGATAATCGTCCAGCATTTAACGTGGTTGAAAGTTACCAACTAGTTTCTAATGTTATATTTTTGATAATCAATTGTATCGTCACATATACTCAGGGTTGGGTAAGTTAATGTTTTTTTTAACTGAATAAAGTTAAAGCTAATGGCTTTACAAAATTAATAAAGTTAAGTTAAAAGTTGAAGGAATAAAAAATTAACTTAACGTAAGTTAAGTCAATATTGAATTAACTTAAGTTAAAAAAAAAGTTAATTTTGAAAAAAATTATTTTTTAGATCAAAATGTCCTAATTTTTCTTAAAAATGAGATTAAATAACTACAATATAGATTATTAAGTAAATTAAATTTTTAATTTTTTTATTCACATGTGATATAAGTATATAACATATAACAATATAACTATTTATATAAGTTATATAACTTTAAAAAAACAGCCAACATATAGAGAAGATACAAGATCAGTGATTACTTTTTAATAAGTCTTAAGTCATAAGAAATTAACTAATTACAATCGAATGTGAGAAGAATATTTGACTGTAATTGGTCAATTTCTTATAATTTAAGGCTTAAAACACCTATTGTAGATCCGGACTAAAGCTTATGGCATAAGGCATAACCGTATAAATCAATCAGAGGACTGTATTAGCATCTTAAGAAATTACTTAAGATGGTCTTAAAATATGAAAGATTATGAATATACGCCCTTAGTCTTATTATTTCTTATTATTTTTCTAAGATATTTAAAAGAGATAAAAAAATTGTTTAACTTAAAAAAAAGTTAAAAAGTTAACGTTTAAAAGTTACTTAGTTAAGTTAAAATTTAATGCACTTAAAATTAACTAAGTTAAGTTAAAAGTTATTAACTTTTTAACTTTTTTTTTAACTTTTAACGTTTTAACTAGTTACTACCCAACCCTGCATATACTATATGTTATCTTTTGTATTTATCGACTAACCAAATTTAGCTATGTAGTTTACAACGAAAGAAAGAAAAACCGATATATTATTATACTTATTACTTTATATATGAAAATGTTACGATATCGGGTGTTAATTCCCGCTAAGATCGGATATTTTCTTCTGTTAAAAAGTACTTACTAAAGCAATGCAAGTTATACGGAGTATGAAATAATCTAATTGTAAGTATCATGCGTATATGTAAACGGTTAAATTAGTCGGGACGATATAATATCTACATTAGATATATGTATATTTCCGTTGAAATTATAACTGTGTTTGTCCTTTGTTCTTATACTGGGGCTTCATCGCGAGAAAAAATTCTATGACTTCGATAAAAGCTCTTGATAAGAATTACATTATCTGGGAGAATATGCAGAAAAGGAAAATGTGGCTTTTCTAATATTATAATATGTTGTCTCTTTCATCTTTGTTTTATCAACAGCTTTTATTGACGTAGCAAATCTTTTTGCCGATCCTGCTTGTACGTGTCATTGTCGCATGTATTATGTATGTATTGATGTAAATAAGCTTGTACAAACGACTGAAGGGAATACGAGGGAAAAGGAAGCTGTAAAAAGATTGAGAGAAAAAAGATATACATATATATGATAAATTTTCATAAAGTTTAAAAATATGAGAAATAAGAGAAATTAACGAATGAGATCTAATTGGCCTTCATATAATTGATATTAATTTCGTTAAGTAACTCAGGATCTTAGCTTCTCTCGATACGTCTCTAAATCTTATTCACTACTCGAAGAAAAACAGAAAAGGTACAAGCATAAAATACAGAATTGATGCTATTATTATTTTTATTGCAACTTGCATTATTTATTGTCATATATTTAAAGCCACATCAATATGTTGACTTAAACAGAGATAATAACTAGTCGACCAAAAGAAGTCAAATAAGCAATATAATAAACGTGGACAAGCAGTACAAGCTCTTGTTATTCTTTCTCTGTTACAGATACATTCTCTTCATATTCCTTTATTTATTGTTAGATTGTGATGTTGTATCGTAATCGTATAAAACGCTCTTTACAATATGGTAATCTAGACGCGACATATTTTTCGTAAGAATTACGATATGTAAAGATAAAAAACGTAAACGATTACGTGCTATCTCCTATCTTTTTTCCGCGATCGATTCATGTATTATTTTAACATTTATGATGTGTGTGTCCATGGGCCGGGAATGCGATCCGTCAGTATTTCAGTATACTGTAATTTTTTATGTGCACATCACTTATTATTAATAAAACATACTTATGCGAGATTATCGTCGTTGTCCCCATCATTCCTCTTGTTTCCTGCGAATCGTAACGATTGTTAGATATAATTATAAATTGTTTTATTCGCAAAGACGCATTGTTTAGTGTAGTGTTAAACAATTCACAACTTGTGTAATAGACATGCACATACATGATGAACGGTGATTTATTATCTTGAGAATTAGTAGAAATTAAATTTCGTACCGTAGAATTTAAGATATATTATTATTAGCGCTTAAAATATATATATGCTTAGTGTTCGTCCAGTACACTTAAGATTCTGTGTAATTTATGTGAAAGCTTTGGGGTAAGTTATAGCCTTTTCACGTATTTTATAATAGCTTGTCCATATGGCATGCATTATGATTTATCAATGAATAAATCAAATACTTATGCGATAAATAATTTCTCATCTCTTTCAAGGATAATTAATGCAAATTAATTTTGCAAATTGTTTTACAGACGACATTAGTGCATACAACGGAACCATCAGTAATAGCAATAGATCTAGTACATCTTCCATTGAGAGCATCTCTCAGTCGATCGGAAAATTTAATACGCAACAAAGCATCGTGGAAGTGCACTCGCCACCTCACGATATAATACTAGATATAATACCCGGCAAGCTAATTATACCGCCTACTATCACACCGATTGCAACATTACCACCAACAGAACTATTTACATCGAAATCGACGCCAATCCTACCTGAACCGGAATCAGCACCAACATTATCCACATCGAAATCAGCGCCAACACTATCTGTATTGAAATCTGCACCCGTATTATCTTCAGTAAAATCAACACCAGTATCATCTACACCGGCATTAAACTCATCGACGGTACCTCCGATGCCTCCACCACTTCCACTACCGCCGCCGTCAACACCAATAGGATCTATCTCATTACTTCAACCCCAAAAATCTTTACCGTCAACTTTTATGCTTAATAAAATGGGAACATTTAAAAATAATCACTTCTTCAATGGTAAGTATATAGCTTCAGATATTAATAAAAAATTAATTTATTTTAATAATCACTTTTATATTTGTTAAAACCAGACTTTATTTATAACAGGATGAACTATATAAAAATAACTATATAAATAAATAAAAGTTTTTATAATTAGCAATCATCATTTATTGGATGTATTTGTGGCACATATTTTCAAAAGGTCTCTCCAGTCAGGAAGAAGTTCAAAAGGAGCTTAAGTTCGTTCTCGGAATATTTCGAGAGAAGAAAGCAAATTCTTCTATTAATAATAATACACAAGAAATTTGGTTGAATCAACATTCGACTCCTCAACAAGTTCAAACTTGGTTAGAAGCCAAAGGATTCTCGCAAAAGTGCATATAATCATAAATATAAATAACAGAACTAAGTAATTTATTCACCATTCAATACAAGTATATTTTATTTATTGCAGAATTTGCAAACAGTTGGAAAATACGAACGGCACAGAATTGTTCAATTTATCACGACGGCGATTGGAGCAATTATGTGGATTGTCCGAGGGAAGTAGGCTCAATGGCCAATTAACTTTAGCGAAAAACGAGTGTGAAGTAAGTATACTTAAAAAAAAAAAAACTCTACAATATATTTATAATACTTTTCGATTTTTTTTTTAAGTATAAAACCGCCCGATCGTCAGAACTCAAGCAAATTTTAGAAAAAGCGCGTCGAAGAGCGGAGAAATTAAATGATAAGGATGAAATCAAAGAGTGAATCATACTGTTCTTTATATTCCGTACGCGGAATGCTGCAAGTACTTTATTATCACTGCGAATTTAGAAAAATGGAAGATAAAATGCAACATATGTATTTTTTTTCGTAATTTTTCATAGGTATCGAAGCAATACTATCGAAAAAATATGATGGAATTATTTTATTTTCTGTATTGTGATAATTATTTATTACGAGAAAGCAATATTGCATATTAAAGGTTTTTAGCAAGCAGCTAGCAAATATACAATAAATTAATTCTGATGTTCTTTTATTGCGAACAATATTCATTATATTTTAACGAATTAAAGATTTGTTTTCTATTCCTGCACTGGTTGCAGTGGTTACACTAATTCAAAAAGTGTATACTAAAGCGTTTTCTGTTTCCAAAATGATGTCAGCGACGCTGTCTTTTGTTCTACAGAACTCAATGCACTAGTTCATCAGGTCATAGGTTTGTTTTCTGTGGCTGAACTAGTGTACACTTTTGGAACTTAAATGAAAAAAATACATGTTTGATAATAATGATATTTGTCGAAAGCGAGAAAGTTTTAAGTCTAGTACAGTCTAGTGCAGGAACAGAAAACAGACTACTGGATCTATCTGGACCTATCTGGGTATCATGAAACTTTTTTCCTAGGATGAAAAGTGAAAAATGAAAAATTTCTCCATTAACTTCAATGGTTAAAGTTTTCACCTTTCATTTTTCATCCTAGGGATAAAGTTTCATGATTGATACTCTTGAGTTAGTACAAGCAATGCAAGCACTAATGTACAACTAATTCAGCTACAGAAAATAGACGTTGTACAAACAGCGCGAGAGTATATACGAGTATAATAAAATGATAAAAATATATAAATGATACTCATAGTAAGTTTACATATAAAAATATTTTGTCCACCATCATTATCTTCAATGAAGAATATTCTTAATGATGGAATTGCATTAATACTTTCATCTTTATCACACGAATCTAATATTCTCATATAAACAATTTGGGACACCATTTTTATCTTGCACTAAAACGTTTTTTAGCTGCAGTTCAGTTCAATTTTAGTGCAATTCTCGTGCAGGAACAGAAAACAAATCTCTTGTTGTAGAAATAAACAGAGAAATATGTATACACTGTATATATATATATATATATATATACACACACACACACACATACACACATATGTATACGTATGTATATATATATATATATATATGTGTATATACATACATATATATATACATAATAAGTTGTTTTTCAGTACGTTTTTTGAATCGAGAATTCAATTAAATTATTTAATTTGAAATAAATTTATTATGTATGTGTATATGTGCATGTGTGTATGTGGATACGTATGTTTATAAAATAAATCAAATCGCTTTAGTCTCAACAGGAATATATTAAGTACTTTAAATTAAAATGTTAATTAAATTAAATGTTGTCTCAGTAAACAATTTTTCATGCATGAATATGTATAAATATGTATAAACATACATAAATATTCATAAACATGTATACATATACATGAAATATGTCCGTACATCCCTCTTTCTTTTGTAAAATTACTTTTTAGTGTAATAGAAATAATAATAGTAATGTGAAAACATTAAATATAATTGAAAAGGTAATTTTTATACTATTTGTTTTAAAAAAAAAATCAAGTTTGAAAAAATGTAAAAAAAATTATTTATACATAATTATATAAAATTATGCATAATTGTGTATGAGCAATTTTTAAAAAATTTTTCCAAACTTGTTTTTTTCTAAAACGAACAATGCGAAAATTATCTCTTTAGTCATTTTTAATATTTTCACATTACTATTACACTAAAAAGTAATTTTATAAGAGAAAAAAGAGATGCATGAAATATCGAATGCATGGGCGTATCCAGGGGAGGGGGGGGGGGAAGTTTGGAGGTTTAAACCCCTCTTTCCGAAATTTTTTATTAATTATTTCATTTTGAGAAGGTTCCGTTAGTGCACATCCTGATAGCACACTCACCATCGATTAGTGTCTAATAATTTTTCACTGCTTCACTAATGAAAATATTTTATTTCGTGAAATGTAAAAAAACATACAACTTTACTTTTGACTTTGTGTGAATTTTTTGCTGTTACATAAAATATTGTTTTCTTCTCGTTAATAAGATCATATAAGTAACTTTAAATATTTCTGTTCGAGCTTTGACGAAATATGCGACACATAGGGAAAATTTTCATAAGATTTTTGTTCCGCGAAAACAAAATATACGCTATATTGATATATTCTTGTAACTGTATTGCCCTTCTTTAAAAAAAGGCTTTAAAAACATAAATAAAAGGTACATGATGAACAAAACGTTCATTCTTCTTAAAAATGAGGTACGAGGAAACATTAAAAGTTGTAAAAATATCCAAATGAAATTCATTAATATTAAAAATTGTTGTAAATTACAACAAAATTGATACAGTGATGTTCTTTTTCAGTACAATAGCAAAATCCTTTTTTTTTTTGGTTGTCATTCCAATTGATGCACGATATATTTCTGGGTTGATTGAAACCCTCTCTCATACCTAATAACCCCCTAAAAAAATTTCGCGATACGTCCATGATCGAATGCAGTATTGATATTAGAAATTATGTAAATGAATATGTGATCACAGTATGTATGACGTAAATATGTGAGATTATTAATTTATCCTCCAAAAAATTATTAAATCGTTAATGAAAGCGACAGTATAATTAGAGAAATGTATTTTTTTGCGTATTTTCATTCTATCTTTTTTACGTTAAATATATTATATAAGTATATAAAGTATTTTGTGACGCTATATGTGTGTGTGTGTGTGTGTGTATATATATATTTTTTATCTATAGTAACCTGTCTAAGAAAAATCACAGATTATGTTACTTATGTTATATTTATTTAAAGCGATCACATACATCATAACAGACATAAATAGGATACTCTAGATGTGTCATTTGTATCGATAAACTATACATTCTTTCCGAGTATTTGACACGAGGTCATGTAACGTGAACACATTATAATTATAATATGCTATTTGTTTTTAAAAGCACTCTTATATATCATTTAAAATAAATAAATGTCACTGTAGATATCCAACAGTGATAACATAAAAATCTTCGACATTGGTATAAATATCAACAGCATTACATGCAAAGTATAACTCTCTGTGAAGTTTAATTAATAACAACACGTTAAAATATTTCAGTGCTATATAAGATACTTTATGAATCAATAGTTGTCTCGCTACCTTCATTGTGCTCGTAATGCTCGAAATTATATTTTTATTAAACAGATTTTTCTTTTAATATGTAAATCTTTTTCAGTTTCTCTCAAAATAATTCTAAATAATTCCATAAAATTATCACATTGGAATTTTATTAAGAAACAACTTTGCGTAAAAAGTATTTTGTGTCAATTGTACAATTTCTAAAGAAGTTGCACGAATATAAATAACTCGTTACTGTTTCAAATAAACACATGTCACACATCTTGATTATCATTAATATAGTATAGAGATACCTAGAAATGTCTGCAGAATTTTGATAGAAAATCTATTAGAAAATTTTTGATTTCTAATGTTGCTTTGGTCTTTCATACTTTGACTTACATAAGCTCTAGCCGTAAAGCTTCTTTTGCATATGAATGATTACACATTTAACTTGTTATGTGATGATGACGATTATGTGATTACAATTTATTATTTTCGTCATTCCTTATTATTATTATTATTATTATATATATATATCAAAGAAAATTCAGTAGTACTATGATATTTTAAAATGCTTGAAGTGTCAATAAGTATGGATAAAGCAGTTAAATTGATAGAGAAAAATAATGTTCAATATTTTAGATATAAAAGCAGATAAATTTCGCGACATATAGGTTCCTACAAATCGGAATGTTGGATAATTTGGATTACATGAAATGATTAATAATGACATGTGTATAATGAAAACGTATGATTCTGTGAATGTGTCTCTTAAATTAAGAAAAGTTCTTACATTTAGCAGCGATGCACTTGTATAACATGATTTTCTATTTTGCTCTTATCATAAAAATTTTACAGTGATGATATGAGCAAACAAAAATTTGTGCGTCTTTTTTCACATCGTGCGTTCGTGCGGACGCAGTGAAAGTGGAGAATCGGTATTAGCATTGTTGTAACTTCTGCCGACAGGATTTACATACACCTACATGTTAAACACGAAAATTCTTAATTTATTAATAAGTGATATTTTCATTATTTATCAAAGTATAAATCATTTATACGACCTAAAATTACTTTCCTTTGGTGTATTACCTCTAGAATCTTACAGTCAGTATAAATTGATCGAAAACATAATTATAAAAAGGCGATTAATACGAATAACAAGATTCCTTCGGCTTACACGCTTATGTTGATAACTTATAACACATTGTGTTGATTAATGGATAACAAATGATGAATATTAACTGGTCGCAATCAATTTAGAACGTAACTTTGTTCAATCTTAACATTTTTAGTAAACCTCCGACAAAACACATAAACTTCTATACAGTAGTTACATAACAGTGATTTTTAAAATTAATTTTAACTAAAATTGCATTTTTATATATACATTTAATGATCTAATTAAACGTGTTTACTGAAGTATTTTCTTATTTCGTAATGTAAAGTAATATTAATGTTTGTGTCTTATTACGAAAATAAATGAGGTAAGTAAAATGAATCGAAATAAATACATATGTATATTTCTTATAATTGCAAAATGTCTCACGTTCAACTTATACATATATAGCTTCGAATATGTTAATGGAAAGCCTTTAGTTTTGAGCTTAGCAACATTTTATATATACGCAACAGATATTAATTGCCGTTAAAATTAAATTTCAAGTAGAATTTCATGGCTTTTTGATTAATACACAAACACACATACGAAAGTTAGTTTCCAAAAGTAAGTTTCTTTACTTTAGGAAAAATAGAAAAAACAAAGTTGAAAAATCTGAAAAATTTTTTTAACTTATACATACACTATTTTTCAAAAAAATTGACATTTATTTCTATGCATTTGTTGTATCATGAAAAAAAGTTCTGGATGGACTTCCGAAAAAACCCTCTGATTTTCTTCTCGATTGGTACATTACTATATTTTGATGCCCTAATTACGAATATGATCATGAAAATTACCGACAAGATCATTTTCAAGGTTAAATATTTAAAAACGATTTTTTTCACATTTTTTCACGCTTTTTGCGTAGAAAATCGTGCGTCCCTTCGCAGGGAAGAGGTCGCTTCGCGTGGAAAGTCGAAACCCATGTGCAACAGTAAAATTGTGGAAGTCGTGCATTCCTTTGCAGAGGGAGCACGAATCAAAATCTAACAGCTCTACTTGTGATCACAAAAATGTAAAAGTCTTGAGTGGATTCTTAGAAACACCCTCTGTATTCTCTGGATTTTGCTTCACAAGTAACTTCCATCTCTTCTCCAAATTGAAACGGTCATAAACGATTCAATAATAACAAGGAAGTTACGACTGTTAATAGGTGGCTCATGTGGAAAATGGGTACAAACAAGACGTGGAAAAATCTTTTTCACGATACAATAAATGTATAGAAAAAAATGGTGAATTTATAGAAAAATAACCAAAGTGAAATGAGAAAATAAATTTTTTTAAATTTTTAAATTTTGTCTTTCTGTTTTTCATAAAATAAAGAAACTTACTTTTGGACTAATCCTCGTATAATTATACCACAAGGTGCAACTAGTCCATATAAATATATTCGTGTAATACTTCACGTCAAAAATAAACAAAATTTTTTGTCGATGGCTCAATGTAAGTGTTATAATTTAAAGTACTACGTGTTTCTATGTTTCTTAACATAAATTCTCTTTATCATGGACAATAAACAAGCAACTATCTTATTAATAATGTGATATTTGCAGCTTAATCACACCTGATTCATAGAGTAAGAATCATCCTGATCATCCTGATCATTTTTTCTTTGAAATTAAAGAAATCGTAATATAGTATAAGAAAAGAAACAAATTATTTTATCTTGTACCAAAGTAAATAATAGATAACAAAGGGTTTTTTATCTTAGAATCTTCAGAGATTATGATTGCCATAATAAGAAAAGCGTAAGGAAATAAATTTTACAAAATACATTATAAATGTACATATTCATCCATAAAATAATTAATTTTTTTTTTTCTAAATTATCAAAGTCTTTGTTTTCAAAGACATTTCGTCCAATATATCTCATTGATCTATGACATAAATCATATGATATACGTATACTTTTATATATGTAACAATAAATAAATCTTGAAGTAAAAACAACGGAAGCGATATTAAAGAAAATCTATTAACATAACGTTGTCAAAAATAAAAAAAATTTTTAATTATTAATGTAGAAATCGGAAAATGGACTATGAACAATGATTCAAGCAAGCCAATAATTAATGCAGCGATGAAGCGATAATGAAGCGAAAGTAGAACGATTAATATGAATATATGAACGTACAACCTATTGGCCAGTGGTTTCCGTATCCTCCTTCGATGGAACAGACCTTGATCGATAGGAATATAATGTAAAAATGATTTTGTATGACATTAATGAGTAGCAAACCTAAGAGCGGATTGATACTTTGAAACGAAAATCTGTATGTTAGTATTATGATGGATAAAAGGAGTTTGAGACAAAGGAAAGAATAGAAATGAAATCCCATGTTTCGCATTAAGTGATGCTTATACGTAAAGCTTGGTACTCTTTCTTTTTGTAAAAATTACCAAAAACCTCCCGCACTGCGCCCGCCCGGTGGATTATTTACGCGAATGCATGCCCTTCGTGCTTCTTCGACATCCTCTGTAAAAAAAACGCGCTTATATTCCTATAATATGAAGAATGACACAAATGAAATAAAAAAATCCCACTTGATTTACGATAGTTCAAAGTTAGACAATTTAAGATTATTCTTTATTAGTATGATACCACCAAAAAATATATGTCACGTGTCTAAAGATTAAAAAAATAATTTATAATAAGACTCACCGCTGATAGAGAAAGTAGAATCTTGTAGGTTTCTTTGCCCTTCGAGTCTTGGACCCTTCGTGGATGGTGTCACCACGGCGGATTCCGGTAAAGTAGGTACACAAATGGCTGCTTGCAATTTTATCTTTGGACTGTCGTGAATTGAACCGTTCTGATTGACTCGTGCCGCTGCCGCAGCTGCCGCTTGTTCCTTAGCCTTTGCAATCGCGGCGTCTTCTTCGGCATGTCTCTTTGCCTCTGCTTCAGTTCGTGCGACTCCACGTGGTTTCTGCGCAGCAGAAAAGTATAATTTTTAATTTATAGAAATTTATAGTAATAAAATTTTGATTAATTTTATTCTAACCTCTCGAGTTTTAAATTAATTAAAATTTAGTAAAAATATATCTACTTTAACATTATATGCATTATTTAAAAATAACACATAAAAGCGTTCCAATACCGAAAATATATGAGATACGTTACATGCTCTATACATGTTTCAGCACTGGCAGTGAATATTGGAATGCAATCTAAAGTAAAAAATAATAGTAGAAAGAAAAGAGAAAAAAATCAATATGTTATACCTTTTCTTTGTCATTTATCATGTCGTATACATAGGTCCCGAATGGATCCGCATTTATGTACTTTCCGAAGCCATGAACAGCTTTGAGTTCACACTCGTCCACACATACGCGTCCGTTGACAATCACGTATTCAGGTACTCCAGTTACTTCCATACCCTGTGTGTATTAACAATATTAATTAAATAATTAAATTACTACCACATGATATACTTTTTATTACAATTAGCAATATTGTAATTAGCAATAATTCAATAATGTTTCTGAAAGAGTTGAGAATATGATAGATCGCAATCTTTTACATATTTTACGATGAAAATAATCTACATATAATGCATCCTTATTGGACAATATTATAATTATCGAAAGCGGATGACTCAATCAAACTTGCTTCGAAGATGTTGAAGTCAACAGCCTGGACGTGGGTCTGGGCGGAAATGGTACGTTTCCTGTTGGGATCCCAGACGACAATGTCGGCGTCTGAGCCGACAGCTATAACACCCTTTCGAGGATATAAATTGAAAATTTTGGCAGCATTTGTGCTGGTAACTGCAACGAACCGCATAGGATCCATTATACCAGCGTGCACACCCTTCTCCCAGAGCACTGACATCCTGTCCTCTACACCATTCACGCCATTGGGAATCTTTGTAAAATCGTCTTTGCCCAGAGCCTTTTGCTCGGCATTGAATGTGCAATTGTCGCTGCCGGTAACTTGAAGATTATCTCTGAAAAAGTCGTGTTAGTGCATGCGTCTGAAGATCGTACTCTCAGAATAAAAATTAAACCATTAAGTACCTTGACATCGAGTAAAGGCTAAATTAATAATACGAAATTAAATAATAGTAAACGTCAAATGATTAAAAGTTGGGGGATGATACTCATTTAATAGTAACCGTTAAATTAGCAGTTTTTCCTCTATTCATTTAATCGACATTAATGCGCTTCACCATGAAGGCAACTTCCTACGTCGGAGCTATTAATATCCAGACCAAGAGTTACGCTTATGTCATTCTTATAATTTTGTTATTATAATTTATTGTCATGAACGAAATAATGGGGTAATAATTTAATACAATTTTTAAATCGAAAAGAAAGAGAATTAAAAAAAAAGATTAATAAACTATATAAGAGTGTAAATAAAGAAAAAATTATATATAATAATATACATAAAGTGCCAAAATCATAGTCTTCTCATTTTTCATTTTTTTGTTTAATTGGAAACAAATATCTCTTAACCAAAAAGTTAAAATATTTATAGTTTTTAATATAAAAAAATTCAAATGATGCGAAAAGGAATAACCCAGCCATTATAAAGACATTATAAAGACAAAGAGATTAGGGATTCTCTAAAGACATCAGGGATTCTTTACAATCTACTTACTGGGCCAGGTGTTCAGTTAGATAGGCAGGTGTCGTTGGGTCAGGCCGCAACGGTGGATTAGTAATAAAACGCCTTGCTTTCTCCACGTCTTTGCCATATTGCTCGCTACCATCGATACCGATGGTGCTTGCCAAGGTTTCCCCGAAAACGATGATACCGTCCGATCGCTTTGCCGACACAACGTCGGCAGCCGATTTGCTTGAAATCGCCGTTATGTACAACGGACTATTCACCTAAACGCGATATTTTTATTCTCTCATTGAACTCTTATATTCTTTTTATCGTTACGTTTACTACCTATTAATCAAAACAACTTACAATTGAAAAGATTTATATCGAAATTTAATAAAAATTTCAAAATTTTCAATATTAAAATGATAAATCGTTATTACTTTTTATTAGGAGACACAGTAGTATCTCGCGCTAAGTTGTATAGACTTGTATTCTATATACAAATATTAGTTTTTTTAATTATACTAAAGTAATTATAAAATATATGAAATATATATAACATTAGCGTAAAATTAGATCTGTGTTTTTAATTCTAAACATATTTTATGATAAGTATTGATAATGTAAGATATGATAAGTACTATAAGTATATGTCAAATTCTACACAAATCAAAAAGCTATCAAACAAAATCTTTTTCAGCCGTGCTTGATTTACATCTAACAATTTAAAAAAGCTTCAAATAAAACATATTTTTATATCAACCCTTATACAATATTTTATATGTTTTTACATGCGCAATACGTAATGCTAAAAGTAATAAAAATAACCAGAGAGAAATATTTGTATGTAATAGGCGAATAAAAATAAGAGAAAAAGGAGAAACAAAGATAACGAGTTACGTTCAATATGCATGCGAATAAATTTCGACGGTACTGTCAAATATAAATTTCAGTGTGCGAACGGACGGCATAATTGTGCAATTTGTCACGCAAGCGTCTGTCTAGCTGGATTACATAGAAACTTAAATTACTATTGCTGCAATTGCAACCTATTTCCGTTAATCAGCGGAATAGAAAGTGTATAGAGGGCGCGAAACAAGACTCGGTACTTTGGTACTCGGTAATCGATACTTTGGGTCGTATATTATACATATATGCAACATTACTTGAGAAACACATCGAATTTTTCTGTTCAAGATCTTCAATACTCTCTATAAATCTAACTTTTTTTTCGATGTACGCTTACTTATTTAGAAAAAGACCAGTCGTGCGTTATTCCCTTTAAGTAGAAAGGAAAATATGTTGATATACGACTATTGCATCGACCTCAAAAGAAAGTGTTTTCCGTTTTACAGACAAGATACTATACTTGGCAAGTACGATTTATTTAGGAATGTCTGCAATCGGATCTATGTTTAAATATTGCTGTTAACAATCAGCAATTTGTATTGGCTCAACCTAGCTTTGGTCAGTAATATATTCGATTTGCTAATTCTCAAAGTATCAAGTATCTATAATTTCGCATATAGATGATTTCGTAAATTTACATTCTAGCTTCTAGCCTGTTTCGATGTCAAAGTCGTCCTAAATTTATCGTTGGCTTTGACTCACTTAGCTAACATGTTCACAAGTACTCGTGGCGTATCCGTATCCGGTCTGAGTGGTGGACTTATAACGTGGCCGGCGGCATGTCTCCAGCATTTGTGTAAGTAGTTGGTACCATCCGTGCCAACTGCAGCTGCCAAGGTTTCACCAAAGACACAAACGCCACGCTTATGCGCGGCCTCCACTTGTTCGGCGGCACTACGGCTCATCACATGCACTATGTACAGCGGGCAATTGACCTAAGCATGCGGAATTTTGATACTAATACGGCATAAGATGCGACAGTAATTCTTAAAACATATATTTTCAGTTGCTGAGAGAGAGAGAGAGAGAGAAAGAGAGGGGGGGAGAGAGAGAGAGATGGAGGGGGGAGAGTAAAAAATTAATTGTTTAAAGCAATATATATCTTTTTCAAGTATATATAAAGATGGAATTTAAAACTATAAAATTAAAAAAGGAAAGTTAAAATATTTAAAAAGATATAAGGAAAGAAGAAAAGAAGATGATAAAGTTTGAATTTAGAGAGGAAAAAAAATTAAATTAAATAGATAAGCAATAAAGCAATTTTAAGCTATTATCACATTTTATGGCGTGATACAGATATTTCTTGATTTCAGTACGACCGGAAAATCTCGTTACATTAGGCACATGCTATGAAAAGTAGCGTCCTGATTTCTAATCTACTAAATTTATGATCGTTCGTGAACTAAATACTGCTACGGATACCGTGCCAAGTACATCTATATAGAACTTTAAAGTAGTCAAATATAAAAAATCTTGCGTGTTTGAGACAAAGTAAGACATATATCAAAATAGATAACAAAGAACGAATATACGAAACTCTGACTAAAAGATATCAATGTTTTAGCAATGATATCATAGCGAAGCATTAGTTTACCTGATTCGCGATAACACATGCTCTATTCACAGCTTCCGCTTCGACCTCTTCGGGGCGTGACATCTCGTGGCCTTCTGGGCCAGTTACTCCTGCGGCTAGTAATTTCTTCGCATTCTGGAATAAGTTTATGATGATAGAAAAGAACTCGTATGTTGTATTTCGCATTAAAATCCATTTCAAACAATGTGGATATACACTGAACCTCCATTATTCGCATAATTTTTAAGTCACAGCAATTTTATTAACTTAGCTTTCTTTTTATGTTACTTTGTTCGTCGGTCATAGTAAACAAAAGATATTAAAAGCTTAGAAATTACTATATATAAATACACTATTTTTATATTTTATGCTTTCAGAAATATATCTATATTGAAATATGCGATAGCTCGTAATCTTAAGAGGATATTAGCAAGAATTAATAATCAGAAGTATCATGAAGCAGCGAATTAATTTCAGGTAGTGTGTGCATTAGCGTACGTTATTATCATTTTGTATATGATATACCTCCGCGATAAGGTCGCCATTCTCCGCATGCACCATAGCAATGGCGCCGATCTCCTTGCATGCCTTGAAAGACTCGATCAGCTCTGGATCTCTGAGCATAAACATATCTTGATACGCCATAAACATTTTGAAGCTACCGACGCCGTGGTCTTTCACCAGAGTCGCCATGTCCTCTTTGACCTGTAGACAGATGAGGCAATGAATATCGATGAATAATGAATTGCGAACGTGGCTTCCTTTCGATTGTATGATGGACAGTAGCAAATAAGGAGGCTCGATGGCAAATCGCTCTCGTCTATCGTGCCCTCAGGGAGCACGTGCGGTTTTCTCATCCGCCGTCATTCGGTATTCCAACCGCGTGATCGGTAATCGTAGATCGTAGTTATAAGCCGGTTACGAGAACTGCACAACCAATTTACAGAACGAGTTTGTTAGTTTTCCTACATTTGGAATCGTTCTGATCCAATCTCTATCGAATGCCAATAATAAATTAAAGCTGTGCATTTTTTAAGACCTGAACCATGCTAAGAGACAGGAAGCTACGAAAAATTGAGTTTAACTGAATTCTCTTTCCACTTCGCCATATTATGGATAAGAATATAATTTGAACAAGAAAATGAATAGTTAAATCTTAATGGGAATAAAAAAATGCTCGTATATTTTCTTAAAAAATTAACGCAATGGCTTATTTCGAGTTATAATTAAATTAACTTAAAATTAATATAATTAACAAACGTTTCGGCTTACAAAGCCTTCTTCAGTGCTACAACGCAGAGATACAATCTTAAATTAACGAATAAAAAAAACGGATACAATGAAAATTTAAAAACCATAATGGTGAAGTGTCATAGTATAAAAAATATATAATATAAAAGAATACAAAATATTAGGTCATTTAAAAAGTATCCGCGGTTTTTTGTTCAATTTTTGAATGAAAAAACCGCGAATACTTTTTAAATGACCGAATATAAAAAAATTCGAACGTCAATAAATATCCCGCCAGATGAAAATAAGATAGGAACATTTGGATACTTCAGTCAACAGTAGATTAATTATGTTCATCGATAAAATAGATTTGCCAAATTCCTCGGTTGAGATCGAGAACCCAGTTTGTCACAGACTTGTATCAAACGATTTGAGAATTTTTTAATTATGAGTATTTTATGATATTCCGTAGAACAAATAGATTTATTAAGATAATATATTATTAGTGTGAAAAAAAAGGTACAGAATCAAATAATAACTTACGGTAATTTATATAAAATAATCGAAACTCTCAATCAAAGATCAGGTTAAGTACAATAAAGATAATGATTGTTGTTCGTTTGAAAATTAATTAATGTGAAGTGTAGGTCAAACAAAAGTAAGTCAGTAAAATCGAATGTAAAAACAAGCCTGTTCAAAACTGTGACCATTTATATTCTCGTATTAGGTGTTGGAATTAATTCGTAGCGTTTTACAAGTGATGGGAAGTACTTTCATTAATGTATTTTTTAATGCTCATGTGAAATAAATAACATTCTTTCATTAAAAAACGCTACGAATTAATTCCAACACCTAATATATCGTCAAGTATGTTAAAATAACAGTTATTCAGTAACCCAGTATCTTTCATTAAATTTAACCGTTTTTTTTGTTCTTTGATGTGTATCATTTCAGAAATATTTCTTTTAATATTCTGTTCAAAATCAAGAATACTAACTTTTTCCCAATCAAAGTCATGATTAGTTTCTGTGTTTCGAGATTACTGAGTACTTGGACTGGTCTAATTTTATATTATTGCGATGTTCTTTAATTCTTGTCTGCAATTGTCTCTTCGTTTGGCTAATATATGATGCAATTATTATAATTTACTTTATATATGACATTATTATTTTTATCTTGTTAATTTTTGTCCTTATGAATTTTAATAAATTTATTAAGCTTGTTTAAGCACCTTATAGCCAATCATGTTTTTGGATTTATTAATATATAGACTTAGTAATTTTGTTAGAAAGAGATTTTATATATGAGAAAACCATTATTGCTCTCAAAACTCTATCCAGTGTCGTTATCTGACGTTATCTGAGCTGGTGTTATTAACCATCGTGGATTTTTTATAAATCAAACTTTTAATCTTTTTGTTAATGTAATAAAAAATCATTCCTAAAGGATAATCGTTATCCTTCAAATTTTCTATTATAAATTCTATGTTCTTATTATAAAAAGTAGAATTTGACAATAAGATGGCTCTATCAACTAAGCTAAATGGTCCCTATCTTATGATATGTAGGAATGGAATAGAATGATAAATACCACTCAGAGAACATTTTTTTACGATACCAATCTAAAATAAGAGTACTGTCTTTATTGATGACCGATAAATCCAAAAAATTCAGACAATGATTTTCCTCATATTCGATAGCGAATTTAAGTCTATCATGCTGTTCATTAAATGAATTTAAAATTTGACCTTATCTTTAGGTGCAATCATAAAGACATCAATATATCTAAAATATGCAGAAACTCGAAATTGCAAAGAATTTAATATTCTCTCTTCCAAATCCTCCATGACAATGTTAGAAATGATAGGGAAAAGGGGGGAACCCATAGATGTGCCAAAAGTTTGTTTGTAAATATTCCCATTAAAAGTAAAATATGTCAATGTTAAGACAAATTTGACCATATTAATGAATTCATTCTTTGGAATGTTTGTAGCACCTTTAATGGAGTCCCACCTTTCCACCAATCCATCCAGCACAACATCCAATGGAACATTAGTGAACAGAGAAGTAACATCTAATGAAACCATTATCTCTGTTTTGTCAATCATCATTCTAGTTAATTTATTGTGAAATTTAAAGCTATTCCTTATTTTACTTTTTGGAGGGATATTCTCAGAGATATCTTGCAAATAACTAGCTAACGAATATATAGCTGTGTTGATTGAAGAAACGATAATTCTAAAGGGAATTCCTTCTTTGTGTATTTTTGGTAAAATATATGCTTTCGGCAAGATGGTATTACTTGACCGAAGACTCCACAATTCCTTATCTGAAATGAATCCCTTCTGATGTGAATTCCCTGATTGATTTCTTTTTATTGTTAGAATCTAGAAGATTAAAATTGCTACTCTGTTATAATAAATTTGTTACATATGCAGAAATGCTTGTCTCACTTAAATTGACGAACCATTTTTTATTAGTTTATTCTAATGGATTAAAAGAAACACCTCTAAATTTGTCAGGTTCAATATTGATGGTGATTAAAGATTCATTAGAATCAATCAAAGGAATATTTTGCCTAAACTTTAATCTTTTAGTTTCTTCTTTGTTATTCCCAATATAGAAAAAACGTATTGATTGGGTATCTTTGGAATCATCAAACTCTTTTTTCGCCATTAACCAACAAAACTTCTTTCTATGTTTTAAAAATAATCTTCTTTCACATTTAAAAAGAATTGTGATGATGTGTTGCCACAGATGGTCAGGTAAAGAGTTAATAAGAGTCCAATTGAGGCTAATCCCTTCTGCAAAAATTGTTTTGTAGAAATCAGAAATTTCAATATTAAGTAGTTTCTTTTTTAAAAAGAAAAGTGATCTTTTATATTTAATATTCGTTCTATGATGATGTAAACCTAATGAATTTCTAAACATATGATTTAAATGAACTGGAATGACTTCATACTCTTTACAATGTCTTAAAAATTTCAATTTAGAAATTGCCTCAATTAATCTATAATTATAATCAATCCACTGTTTTAATAAAAAGGCAATATTATCATTAATTTAATAGACACTGATGGAGTTTTGAGAGATAATGGTTTTCTGATATATAAGATTTATTTCTAACAAAATTATTAAGTCTATTAATAAATCCAAAAACATGATTGGTTATAAGGTGCTTAATAAATTAAACAAGCTTAATAAATTTATTAAAATTCATAAGGACAAAAATCAACATGATAAAAATAATAATGTCATATATAAAATAAATTGTAATAATTGCAATTGTAATAATTGTATGTTGGCCAAACGAAGAGACAATTACAGACAAGAATTAAAGACCATCGCAATAATATAAAATTAGACCAATCCAAGTACTCAGTAATCTCGAAACATATCACAGAAATTAATCATGACTTTGATTGGGAAAAAGTTAGTATTCTTGATTTTGAACAGAATAGAAAAGAAATATTTCTGAAATGATATACATTGAAGAACAAAAAAATGGTTTAAATTTAATGAAAGATACTGAGTTATTGGATAACTGTTATTTTAACATACTTGATGATATACGAGAACATAAATGGTCACAGTTTTAAACAGGCTTGTTTTTACATTCGCTTTTACTGATTTACTTTTGTTTGATCTACACTTCACATTAGTTAATTTTCAAAACACGAGCAACAGTCATTATCTTTGTTGTACTTAACCGAATCTTTGATTGAGAGTTTAGATTAGTATTTTATATAAATTACCGTAAGTTATTATTTGATTTTGTACTTCTTTTTTTTCACACTATATATTATCTTAATAATATATTATCTTAATAAACCTATTTATTCTACAGAATATCATAAAATACTCGCAATTAAAAAATTCTCAAACCGTTTGGTACAAGTCTGTGACAGTTTGATACAAGTCTGTGACTGGATTCTCGATCTCAATCGAGGAATTTAGCAAATCTATTTTTTTATCGATGAACATAATTAATCTACTGTTGACTGAAGTATCCAAATGTTTCTATCTTATTTTCATCTGAGGTATTTATTGACATTCGAATTTTTTTATATTTTATATTCTTTTATATATTTTTTATACTATGATACTTCACCATTTATGGTTTTCAAATTTTCATTGTATCCGTTTTCTTTGTTCGTTAACTTAAGATTATATCTCTGCGTTGTAGCACTGAAGAAGGCTTTGTAATGTTATTAATTAAATTATTTTTAAGTTAATTTAATTATAGCTCGAAATAAGCCATGATATTGTGTTAAATCTTAATTGATCATCGATATAATAATAATCGGATTATTACTAATATCAGACAGTGTTAACATCTGATGAATTTATTTAAAACTTTTAAATTGAATTATGATTATCTCAATGACGAATGATATACCTCAGTGATAAAAGTATAAAAGATAGAATTGCATTAATTTTATGTAATTCGTATATTCGTAACTTACATCGGAATTAGATAAATTGTCATTACGACAATTGACATCTAGTTAACATAATCAACGTATAACTCTATAATAGATAAACGTTATAAAATGTTGATTTTTTAAAATATCGTATTTAGAAATGTCATAATTTTAACAGAAGGGAAGAAAGATGTCAAACCTAAACAGATTTTCTTTCTTAGGAGAATTTCATATTAAACATTGAAATTATCTCGTTCCGGATAACTAGAAAAACAGAATAGATGCACATGGCGCAATGACCTGGCTTAAACATTATGTTGCACTTATAGCGTAAACGCTTGATTGATGTATCATAAAAGCAATAATATAGTAGTTAATAGCTAGGAAAATTGATCAAATTAGAAATAGACACTTGTGACATGTTCTAACAAACTTGATTGGATTGCAATATATCTGTTGTAAGATATAATAAAAAATATAAACTTATAAAATGTTTTAATCAATTTACCTTCGGGCTCCAAGATGTAACGGCGACATGCAACGCATAATCGCAGCATACTTTTTGGTCTGCTGATTGTCTGTATCTCTCGTAAGCTTCCACGAGGCTCTCGTCTTTTCGCGGCACCACAAAATCAATGATCATCGTAGTGCCGCCAGCGACTGCGGCTTTTGTGCCCTGATAAAAGTCATCTACCGACGTGGTACCCATAAACTCGAACTCGAAATGTGTATGTGGATCTATGCCACCGGGCATTACATATCTTCCACGAGCATCGATGGTTCTCGTGCCACCCGGAATAATGAGATTACGTCCCATTTGTCTGCGAACAAAAATGAAAATTTTTGTCAAATAATTTCCTTCGTCCTTCGCAATCAATTCGAGTCTTTTTGAAATTACGACTCAATTAGTCAAATTAATCTCAGTTGACATTGGCCAGTTGATTTGACATCTATCGATTATCTAATGCTTACGATCAGTCACACTCGTTTGATGAATTAGCGAACGTAAATATGTTATTTGTCACTACACACCTCATTCAGTTCTAAGTGATAAAATTACCGCGAATGTATCACATTTAGTTTGTATGAAGTAGCGGAGCTTAGACAAGTGAGCTAAATATATTGTAATATTACCGGCATATTACTAGTTTAAATACACGAACCTCACTATTTTTGAGAATTATGCGGATCTGAGCTTAGTAATTTACTCTTAGTAATAAATCAACTGGTGATTTCTACACACGACGCGTTATATGTATAAACGCGGAATATAAATCATATCGTATAATTAAAATGTATATCGTATTTGCATACCTGATGATGCCATCCTCGATGTAGACATCGCTGTCGATTATCCCATCGTCGTTAACAACCTTGCCATTTTTAATTAACAATCTGTTCTGCGCGCTCTAAAACAAAATAATATTTGCGTTAGTTTAATGAGAGTTTATAGTTTCAAAAATATTGCTTCTAATGATTATGGGATATAACGGATTTAGCAGATCTCTTCTGCTATCGACCATGATTCGCCCGACTGTCCTTGGTATAACGTAACTTGATAGTACGCATCGTGCATGGACTTCAACATCCGGCATACGCAATTAATGTATATACGTGCGCATTGCCGTGTACTACGGTATTATCAATCAGCGATGTATAAGAGAGTGCTCGTTCACGCACTTCCGCCAATGTACGCGATACGGATTTAGAGCATGTACACGATGTGCATGATCCGATAAGCTAATAATTATTCTATGTTTTTTTTTAAAGGATATACAAAACACATTTCTGTTCATTTTTTGCAGTGAAATGCAAATAAATTAATATTAAAAAAATTTGATCAGTGTATAATAAGTACTTATTAACGTCATAAAATATTGAAATACTAAATATACTAGAAGTCTAATTAGAAATTAATTGGAGTTTTATTTATTACATATATCCATGATAGGTATAAATAGGTATGTAGATAGAAACTGATACCAAAAGATTTAACGATGTCAAAAATCTCAATGACCAATTAACGAAATCAAAAAGTATAATATAACGCAGTTATCAGTTGCAATTATCTTTTGTTTCATTATTTATGTAACATTGCATTCCATATACGATCTTTATCTTGTTGGAGGAATAAATGCGGAGAGAGGAAGGGGGGAGGGAGGGAGAGAGAGAGAGAGAGAGAGAGCCGGAATTAGAATATGCACCACAGCTAGATTGCATCGTATCGGTGCATGAATGAACATTCCTTTAAAGGGATGTTGTGTTTTTCGCTCTCGTGCGTACAGAGAGAATATAAAGGTCCAGCCCCTAGAGAAAGGGACTGACGATGAGGACAACAGGGCGTCCGTCGATGTCAGAGGAAAAAGAACAATTCCCGCTACCCACACCAGCATAGTCTAGACTTCTTTGCGCCCCATGGAATCAGTCATGTTGATATAACGAGTTCTTCCGGACGAGCTTTATAAGACCCCTTCAATCTTGAACAAATTTTAGCCGCCCTTCGATGCTTCTATGTCACCAATCCTAATCAGTACCATACTGTTTCGCATCAGAAAGCAATTCGATATACAAACAGCTCAAATACTATTTTACGTACAATCTGTCTAACGAGATTTTCATGTCACATAACTGTGAAATATTACAAATAAACGTTTACATTATTGGTATGAGTTTCGTATACAACCATTGACTTGGATAATTTCTTAAACAATCTGACACTATAAATACACTTTTTGATAGATATAGGATTGCATCAATTGAAGACGTTCAACAGAATCGGTGCAACAATGCATCTCGATTGAACTAATATGTAAAATTCAATGTAAAACAGATACGTGTAGGAGATACTTTATGGGAAATGTAGAGAAACGCTGATGCTTGACCTTCGAATTTATGTGCTGAGAGACCATCGGTAGATGTATTTTACGAAGGCGGAGACCTTGTCATCTTCAGAGTATAGTATTAACAGCAGCCGAGAACATATGTGTTTCATGTGTTAGAATTAGAAATCAGCACGCGAGTATTTTCGGCGAGCATGCTCTTCAGATACTCTTCACTTATACGACATCGTGTGTGATTTTTTTAAGTGAAATCTTTGCGGGAGTGCCTTGAAAGCAATAAAATGAAGTATCAGTCACTGATTTAAACTCTCTCAAAACTCGTAAATCGATAAATTATACAAAATATATTTTGTTTTATTGTTGATCTCTTCTTCTCTCTCTTTCTCTCTCTTTGTCGAATTATTAATTATATACAAGTAGATAATATTAATAATAAAATGTAATTATTGTAAATTTTAATCAAAAAAATAAACTTTTCGCAACTTTTTACTTTCTTTTCGTCTAATTAAATCCAATTTTAAAATTAATAAATTATATTAAACATACATATTAGCACAAAAGTTCCAAACAGTTACAATAAACTTTTATAGTTTCGTATAAAAAGATGCCAAATGTACGATAAAACAGACAATTATAATAATATAATTAATTAGAAATAATTAATCCTTCAATTTAATATAGACTTTTTTCATAAAAAATACTTTATGTATAATATATTGTATAAAGCTATTGTTTTTTATTATATAATATGTGAAGCAATTTATGCTGTATAAAAGCGACACTAATACGTTGCAAAATGCGGGTTGCGTCAAGCCAGAGCAGGGACCCTGGTTAAAATCAATAGTCTCCGACACTTCCTGCCTATATGTTTCAAATTCGCCGGTACGAATCGGCACGGTTGTAACTTGTAAGTGAAAATCCCTTATCGCGAATATCTTCTTACGATTAGAGCGGCAATTTGGCGTGTCAGAACCTGCTAACTCTCTCTCTCTCTCTCTCTCTCTCTCTCTCTCTCTCTCTCTCTCTCTCTCTCTCTCTCTATATCTTTCTCTTCATCTCTCAAGGTCTCTCACAAAGTATGAGAATAGGATTCCTCTTTTAGACTTTCGGTGCTAGGCGCGAGAATGCAGATAGATCGATCTTCCAACAAATGTCTGTTATTTCCTTGCAATATCTATGCGACATGTTGTTTCCTTTGCCAGTGAGGAAGAAGCTAATAGAAACTATTTTTAGAAACTGTAACTTCCATCTAATTTACATCACTCACTTAATTTAATTGAAAGTATAACTGACGCGCACGATTTTTCATGTACGAAAGATGTTTATTTAGACCGCAAAAAATTATAATTAAAAGCTCTATAATAAAAAAAAAAATTTACAGAGGTATCTTTTATCTTTATGAAAAATGTTTTCTACGTTTAAACTGGTAATTTTAAACAACTGCGATGTGCAGGTTGACTCGACAAACAGTGCGAAACACACACGGCGCACGCCAAACTGAGATATTACATAATCATTTGATGTATTTAATGTTTTGCATTTAAAAAGATTATCAAATATTAAAAACTTATAAATTAAAAATATATGGTTAACAAACTTTTTTCTATCCTTAAAGATTCTTTATCGTTAAACATGATAAATGTGATTTATATTTGTTATAAGGAACATACACACCATACAGTGAGTGCAAAAAAGTATTCGTACAGGGAAATTTTTTATAAAAAAGTCTTATTTGTAGAAAATAAACATTAATTAGTAATTTTACAATGAATACATTCTGTTCTAACATAAACAAACGAGCTTCACTTGTATTCCTGATTTTAGAAGCTAAATTTCTTGACTGTACGCATACTTTTTGAGCGTCCAAACAATACAATTTTAAATTTTTGCTTATTTTTCAGATGATATATTTTCTATAATTAATACACATTTTTTTGGTAAATATAATTTTAAGAAATATACAGTCATTTTATTCTTTATAAATAAATTGTTAATTATCCAACAAGAAATGATCATCAATTAAACGTCGAATCGATGTTGAAATCATTGTATCGATATCGATTCAACATCAGTTCGATTACTCATTTGTCGCTGGATACTTATTTTTTGAAAATAAAATTTTTTTAAAAAAACATTTTCTCTATACGAATACTTTTTGTACTCACTGTATATAAGTACAATAATACCCAAATTTCACAAAAAATTATGAATAATGATAATAATATTGTACCATTAAAGTGCTTCTCAAGAAAAGTGATCTGATTCGTAAATCGTTCTTAATTTTTTCCAAGTGCAGTACTTAACAAATATATATACACACGCAGATTAATCTGCGTCTGGGAAAGAACTCAATAGTTACGCAAGGCAAACTGCTTCTTCTCAATTATCGTACGATCGGCGCCTATCGAGTACGAGTAATTACGTCATTTTTCTTAATGAGAGATACCGTACGCGGACACATGCGTGCATCTAATTCATGACTGCGCATGAAACCTACGCTATGAGCTCTCTTTGAGACGACATTGTTATCCTTGGACCGTATCCCACGATCGTGTTTTACCACGTAAAACGATCGCGCGAAGATGCACACGCGTACAAAACTGACATTGAATTGCTTGAATTCTAAGCAAAATATTATCCGACATTTCCCACATCTCATTTTAATGAGAATCCACTATAAATCAAATTTATTTCTATTCTATATATAAGCATACGCTTTGATTATTTCTTACACACACAACATTATTTCTGACACACGTTAAGAAGATTGCAATCGTTAATACATATATTGGTCTTGTTTGTATTTATTAACATAAAATTCTATGAGTTTCACGCGAACGAGAAAGATCGCGAACGATCCGACTGTCTATTCTACATTCGTAAATACGACATGCACAGAAAATGATTGAACATAAGTTACACCTCTTCCTCTATCACGGCGTTTATGTTTGAGAATTAGTGCCGGCAACCCGCGTTTCGATTGGCCGACTTAGCAACCTAGTCAAATTGAATTTTGCATAGTGCATCATCGTGAAAACGCAATGAAACGTAAGAAAGGATTTTTCATGAGATTGCTTCGACCAACAATAGTTAAAACTCTAAAACTAGGCAAATGTGAATAGCAACAAAAGGAAGCAGAGCAAGATAAGTAGCTAGCAAAAATTGCCGTGAATAATAGTATACTGCGATATGCTTCGAAAGCCATATGTGTCAATCTTTTAATTTAGTCATATGCGACGCGCGTGTCGTATCATGATAACTTATCATACATCAATAATTGACCGTGTCTACAAAGCTAACATCACATTTTTAAAATAATATAATATAAATTGTATTAATTGATAATAACATTATAAATTATTAATTAATTAATGGATTAATTAATGAACTTGTAATCTTTTGATAAGAAGTGCTAGAATTCTTCAAGTGTGAGAATTTTTTTCAGAAAAGAAATTCTAATGATCGAGTAGTAAATCCGAGAATACAGGATAACAATGTTTACGATTTGGAATACAATATATTTTGAGTCGTATGAAGATAACAGAACATTATCTCGTAGAAATCAAATA